ACCAACCTGTCTCCTGTCACCAACCTGTGACATGGGCAGTCACTGGAGAGGACAGCTCCTCCACTGTCTCAAAGAGCTTCTTGTAGCCTCCAGCAGGATGCTCGACTCTGAAAGGGCCAGGAGAGCTGGGATTAGCCTGGCTTTGGGATAGCTTTGGAAACCCCCTCCGAGGGAGCGGGTTTTGTTTCTGGATGGACTGATCTGCAATGTGCAAATAACTTGAGAGATCAGGAGGGAGAAGCATCAGCCTTTATGGGGAAAAAGGCTCTGGGGACTCTGATCAGCTGCTGCAGCCACCTGAGAAACATCCTGAGCACATGGAGGAGTAGGGAATGGTGATGGGACAGCCTGTGCTGCAGCCCTGCAGGCGAACTCCTTCACCCAAGGGACAAATTCAGGCTATATTGTTCAGCCTGGAGAAGAGAAGGCTCCAGTGAGACCTTAAAGCAGCTCCCAGTACCTAAAGGGGCTCCAGGAAACCTGGAGAAGGGCTCTGGACAAGGGCCTGCAGGGACAGGACAAGGGGAATGGCTTTAACCTGCTAGAGGGGAGACTGAGATAAGGTATGAAGAAGCAGCAAAATCCAACTTGAATGTCCCAGTTCTTGGAAAAGCTTTTTTTTTTCCCCCCTCTTTTTGCCTTTCTTTTTAAGTAAATTGTAGCTGAGTGAACAGCTGAGAATTATTCATTAGGTTCCAATTTTATCTGCTGCAAAACCCATGGAGATACACCAGACACAGGCTGGTGTACTCCAAAATACAGACCATCCTCCAGCCCCTGGAGCTGAGCCTGTCCCCTGAGACCAGAATCAAGCCTCAGCTCGGGGTGTCCCAGCATGGACACCCACAGAGAACAACCTCCCTCCTCTTTGTCCTCCTCATCCCTGGGCTGTGCTGGCCCCCAGTCAATGCGCCACGGTGGTGATCAGCGACCTGCTCCTAGAGAGAGAAGCCCACAGGAATACTCACTGGCTGTACATTTCCTCCCCGATGAAAGGCCTGAGCCTCCAGCAGCCAAGCTCACTGCAAGAGCCGTGTGCTGGGTATTTATGGGACTCTGAGCCCTGCTGAGGGCAGCCCTGTGCCCAGAACCACCCCTGCCAATGAGACAGCCTGGGAACAGAGCCGGCTTTCACCATCAAAATCCTCCGGGGCTTTGAGAGGTTTTGTCTTGCTGTTGGCACCAAAAAGGGCTTTGAATGTTTTACTGAGACTTAAATTCTTCCCAAGCAGAAGTGATTACAAAGAAAAAGAAACTCAATACAGAGAGGAGCAAAACAGAGTGTGCTGGAGTCACCATCACCCGCAATGCTGCTCTTACTGCCGCTGCCCAGCATCATTTCCCCTCTCCCTCACTTGTTCTATTTAGTGTTTCAGTATGGTGGCATTGACAGCAGCTCGAGTTGCTGTGTAAGGCACATTTCTTAAGACTCAGTGCACACAAAGTGGTGTTTTTACACAGGGTGTTAACAGCCCTACACACTCAGGTGGACATCAAACCCCATCGCTGTTTGTTTTACACACAGCACGGCAGCCACCATGGGAGAGGACACAAATACCACCTTAAGAAACCACCTCTAGTAAGAGCAGACATTTATGAAAGCAACAGTGCTGTAAAGAGTAATTTCAAAGATTAACAGGATTAGAGTGATTACTGCTCTCCTGGGTAGCCCATGGTACAGGATGAAGACACTTCATAATACAACATACCTTCAGTGCTCCTCCTGCACAAACAGAAGCTGGGCTGCAGTGACCAAACTTGTGGTGAAAGGAGAAGACTGGACATTAAACAGCCCCTGTGTTCAATCTGTTACAACAACCATCAACTGAAAGGCTGGCTGCTTTCTGTGTTGTTTTGTTTGCTCTTTACAAGATGCAGTGTTTCCTTTTGCACCAAGGGTTCATTTAAGGCTTCTAACTGCAAAACAAGATACTGAGTTGAGCCTTCAGGAGCTCTTTGACTGAGGCCTCCCATTAACCCCTCAAAAAGCTGACAGTAAAATATTTCACTTAGAATAAATAAATGATAGCTCAAAGAAAGGTTTAGATTCAATTTGTATCTGTCACTCATTTGGAAAGTTTTAGCTGTCCCACAGCCAGTCAATTTGTCTATTTATTCACATTTTTGTTAGGTTCTGCCAAAGCCTCAGAAGGGAACATTAAATAACATGGATCAAGAACTCTGAATAATGAGGGCAGCCCTTTGAAAGCTAAATCCTAAGAAATGTGAGCTTCTCGCCTAATAAGTTGCTTAACTGGAACACATAAATAAAGCATTTACACAACACTAGACAGGTCAAGAATAACTAGAAGGAAGGTTAGGCAGGTAGTGGGTTTTAAGAGGAGTCAACTACAGGAGTTACAGAGGAGTATCTGCTGCCTACTGCCCGAGGGTAGTTATCTACAGGACATCAAAGTATTGCTAACACAGGCTAAACCTGGGCTAATCTTGGTTTCTCACTTACAAAGCCTTCCTCCTCCTAATTGGAAGAGCAAAATCATATATTGCAAAGCAGGTATTTGTGCCAGACACAGCCCAGTTGGCAGAAAGGAAATTCCTGCAGTAACCCTCTACCCCTGCAAAGCTAACTGAAGGCTGATGTGGTACATATACAATTGTAAATGTACAGTTAAGTATCAGAATGGAAAGTTGGTTTTGCCTCATTTTGCCAAGGAAAGGAGAACCCCGGAGAATTGAAACATGGTACCATGGTTGCAGACTTTGGCAGTTACGTGCTAAGATGTCCCGTATAGAATGACAATCCTCAACCAAGACCCTCTGTTGTATCACTGCTCCACAAGATGCTAAAACCCCCAAACAAACCCAAACCAGACAGAGAAATGAGTAATTGAGGTTTGCTTTAATTTTAATTCTGTCTACCAGTTCATGACTGGTAAGATTAAGTTACTGTAAGAGTCTGTATGTGCAGGTACAACAAGAGTCGAGTTTTTTGTCCTAGGAATGGGCAGGACAAAGCATAAGGGATATACCAGCACTGCACAGCTCAGAACTGTACAGGATAACTAAAAAAGTAACAGACAAATGGCTCACCCAAAACATCCATATTTCTAAAATACCTGATTCTGTAAAGTACAGAACTACTTAATAAAAAGAAAACCAAAATCCTAAAGGAAAAACAAAGTTGGAATTCAAACATACCTTCTTCTGCAGTCCAGTGCTTACAGTGCATCCCTTCCGTTTTCCTGCAACTAGAGCCAAAATAAGCAGATAGCTGAGTTATCTAGAAGCAATATTACAACTGAAATGTAACCAGGACACAAATTCCTCACAACAAACCCCAATTCAGACACTGTTCCAGTGTATGGCACATTATTGATTTTCATCATATGAGTTTAAAGAAACCTTTAACTGAAGAGCGGCATGTAAGTATTACACAGCAAGAAGAGCACCCGAGTATCAGCCTAGGGACAGGCCACAGTCTGGCTGTGGGCCTGACAAGTGATCAGCCCCATCTGAGAAGCTCCAGGACAGCAGCACATGAGCATGAACATCCAAAACCCCAAATCACACACATCTGGCTGACAAAGTCCAGCGGAACCACCACTTACACGGAGTAGTCGTACATTGTTCCCTGCTTTGGCATAGCATAGGACACACTAAAACCACTGAATATTAACAAGGGAATTCCATTTTACATGGTGGCTTATTTTCTCCAAGGACCTTTAGCTGCCCTATTATCAAACTAATTCTGTCAGTTCAGCTGCACTTACCAAGCGATTTCCCCAGTTTATAACCCTTACCAGCACTGCTTCTGACCCTCTGCTGCCACATTTTCCTTGGACCAAGATGACAAGGTGATGAGAGTGTGTCCAGAGTGAGAGGCAGATCCAGGAGTGCTCCTACTCACAGGACATGTTCTATGAAACACTTGCCATACACATCACTTAAAATCATTCCAGGACATAACAGTTGTGTTTCCAGACTAAAAGCAGTGACAGCCATAACTCTCATGGCAGAGCTCAAGCTCCAAATTGCCTTTCCAAAATGAAAATCCTGTTGATATAAACAACATTTCAATGAATCCTTAAAGGTTCATCCATCTTTCTGCTGTACTACACCAACATTCTCTGCTCAAGACTGCCTAGTTTTTTTACCTGAAGCACCTCTGTCTAAACATTAATTCATGATCTTCTTTACGAAAACACTTTTATTTATTCTCTCCAAATTGCTCAAGTAGATTTATACTCTTGTGGTGGCCACACCAGAATTAATAAGCCAACCCTCAACTGTGGAAACAAAAGAGGGAAACTTAGTGTTTTCTGACTACATTTATTGTCTCTTCCTGTATCATCCATCACTTCTATTGTTTTGGGAAGAATACCAATAGATATAAAATAAATTTTCCATGAAAATGTCAGAAATATACCTAATACTTCCACTATAAATAAATACACAAAAGCTTATGTGGATTTTACAGATAAGATGACCAGAAGTACTTTAGGAGTCAGATAATCATTTATTTATGGTGAATTATTGCCTCCATTGGAAACAACAGAACCGACTGTTAAATTAGTCCCAACCTCAAAGAACATTGTTTTGTTTAAAGACAAATATTTTGAGAACACAAAAGAAGGCACTTTTCATAACATAGACATTAAAACCTATGATAAATGGCACAAATTCCTGAAGAGACAGTAAAATGTCACAACAATATGCATCTCATCAGCTTCCCATAAGGAAACCGTGTATTAGTTTTTGGTTACTAATAGCTTCATGCTTGTTTTCACATTTCTTTTACTGAACATAATATATTGTAATAATTTGTAAACACATAAATATTTCTCTCTTAGTTATTCAAAAGTTATCTATCTGCACACATACACACAAAAGGTATTTTGGCACCTTTCAGCACAGTGTCCATGTAAACAATTCTTCCTTCTCCACACACAGCCACCACTGAATTTCTGCAGCAAGTGTCCTTTGGTACATCATTCACACATACATCCAACAAATAAATACACAGCTGGAGTGTGGTTGAGTTAATATCTTAGGCTACGAAATCTGGGTTTCCTTAAGCTAAGCATCGGTTGTTTGATGGTAGGTTTGTTCTCAAGCAGCACAGCTTCATTTTCTGTGGTTGGAAATCTGTTCTGGTAGATCAGTGGGTATTCCTTCTGGAACTAGAAACACAATGGCAAGAATTAAACCAGACTCCACCAAACACTCCAGCTGTGCAGGACTGAGCATGAATCACCTCGTGAGGATGGACATCAGCAGGAGGAGCAAGGCTATTGGCGTGTAAAGTAACTCAGCTGTGACACCTGACCAAAGCCATAGCCCTTTGTGCTTACAAGTTCACAAGTGGCACTTCATCTTCTGTTGAAATGAGGAAGGCTTCTCATTTCATATGATCGCCAAGGATTTTGACAGGCTGAGAGAGCTGGGCTGGGTCAGCTGGAGAAGAGAAGGCTCCTGAAGGGGACACCTTAGAGCAGCTTCAGTGCCTAAAGGGGCTCCAGGAAACCTGGAGACGGGCTTTGGACAAGGGATGTAGGGACAGAACAAGGGGAATGGCTTGAACCTGCCAGAGGGGAGATTGAGATGAGCTCTGAGGCAGAAGCTGTTCCCTGTGAGGGAGCTGAGGCGCTGGCACAGGGTGCCCAGAGAAGCTGTGGCTGCCTCAGCCCTGGCAGTGTTCAAGGGCAGGTTGGACACAGGGGCTTGGAGCAACCTGCTCTAGTGGAAGGTGTCCCTGCCCGTGGCAGGGGTTGGAGCTGGAGGAGCTTTAGGCTCCATTCAACCCAAACCAGGCTGGGAGTCTATGGAATAAAACTCAACGATACCTGGCTTGAGACACATTTTTGACATTCTGCCCGTTTCCTATGTAAGGCCTCAGGAAAGAAAGACTAACAGTAAATACATCTATACATCAGCAAAAGCTTCCTGCAAAAACCTGCTGATGGATTCAACACAGGGAAAATTACACCATTTGTAACTTTGGGTGTTGATATAAGTTGGACCTAACCATCTAGAATGTGTCATATATTTGGCTTTCCCCAATTCCAAGTATCAAAACTGACTAACAGCTCCAAAACGTTATTTATCACACCAGTAGCTACCCCAGCACAAATGGCATGACTATAATAATACAGGTCTGAATTTAAAACAAATGAACTTCACTAACACATTGCCCTTACAGTACAAGCTGCTTCTGGACTTTAGTGGGAACTCATGAAAAATGTAAGTATGTACTTCGGGTTTTACCATTAGAAGATTTTAGTTGACTTCCTTCCTCCCCACTTCATCTGCTTTTAGTGCTGCTGTGTATTGCTTCTTACTGCTTACTTATTACAAGTTTTAATCAACTGTAATTAACTAGTCTTCTTTACATGCAGGAAGTGTTGATGAACTTGAAGAATTCAAGTCCAGCCTTCACTTTTCCAGGACCAGAAGGTTTTCACAACACATGTGAGAGTCAGTGTTGCAGAAGCTGGGGGAGGAGCACCAAAGAAAGAAATGTGCTTGCTCTGAAAAGCTGCTTTTTCCAATTTGAGTCACAAGACTCACTCAGGAGATTCCAGGACAAGCACAATACTATTCAATTGGTCAGGAATACTTGCCAAAGGTTTTCCAAAAGAGGAAAAACCCCCTCCAGTATTAAATCCTGCCAGAATTGCTGTATTTCAGCTTTAGGATTAGGCAATATGTTAATAGGCCACAGAAGTGCCAAATAAGCTTGAGTGACATATACGTTACAAAACTCAAAGGTAATGCCATAGAAAGGAATGTTTCAGGATTGTGAAGAGATCGACCTCTTAAAGGGTACCAGGGTCTAGTGACCAAGATCCTTCCCTTGCAACAGCATTTCCATAAGTAGATTAAATATGCACCCAATTTCTCACCTGTTTTAACTTTTTCTTCTTGTCTTTCACAGACAAGTTCTTATCTTTGATAATGTTCTCCAAGAGCTCTGCTACTGCAGCTTGAGAAGTAGAAACCTTTTGTTCTTCAAACTCCTGAGGAGTGATTTGTCTGCAGTATGAATATGTTGGCAATATGGCACAAATTTCTTCCTTTGGGTATTTGCACTGGAAGAAGAATTGAAGGAGTCTGCATAAACTCAATTATGTACTCTGTCAGTAAGAAGGTACCTAACAAACATCCAGGCATGGTAACTTCCAGCAGCATCTCAAGTTGTTAAACATGGTAATGTAGCTACTATCTACGACTGCACCAACAGTTTAATACAAGTTTGCATCCAAACCAGTGATTTCATTTGAAGTTTTCCCATCCCACCTTCATAAGTAACAAACACTCTGCAATCAGGAAATGAACCTGCCACCAACCTCAGCCATCTTCATGTGTTCGATGTGATCTTGCACTGCGACCTGCAGGTAAGTGGGAACTTTAAATATTTCTTGTTGATGGTCCATGAGAAATGAAACTAATCGTGTAGAGAGCAGCTCATCGAGATCTACTTCTTCTGCACAGCACAGCACGCAGCGAGAAAAGGTCTGGATCATCTAGAAGTGTTTAGCAGATGGTTAGTGCATACAGTTGAGGGATTTGCCTTTTTCCAGTCTACACAGTGCATTCTGCAATGCCAACTTTCATGGCAATCTCTTGTGTGCACTGCTGGTCAAGAGAGGAGGAAAACTGATGATAATGTTTTCCTCGTCTGAAAGAAAAAAATAACTTCTTAAAACATTAGACTTGCCCTTTTTTTTTGAACAGTAATTTCAATTAATGCATATTTTAAAGAGGTAATAATAGAAGTCTTACCCTGTAGGAAACTATACATCTTCACTTAGCCATCTCAGGACAAGTGACATAAAAAACCCTGCAGAACCAGCCTAACCAACATCTAATGTACACCAAGGTCCTGTTTTAAACAGCTTTAAAAACATTTCTTAAAGCTTTTGACAAGAACTCTTTAGTTGTTGCAATGAAAGCTTAAATTCAGACCTTGAACTTGGTATTTAAACCCACTAGGCAGAAAACTGACTTCTTTGTAACTGTTTTTGTCCTAACTTCACATACACAAATTTTAGCCCAAGAAAGGCTTCCTACAGACACTTTGGCAACATCTTTTAAGTTGAATGGCAGTTGGGTAAGAGATCAGACTAAGTCACTTGTATTTGTTTAAGAAATTACATCCCTTCTCCTCCCAAAACAAAAGCAACAGCAATATTTGAAATGTATTAGGAGGTGGACAAGAAAGTGCTTGTTTCAAGCCAGATTTTGCTAAACATTCTGGCGATGAAAAGCTTATTTAAGTGCACTATTTAATTGCAATGAGACAAGAACATCAAGTACAGAACACTGCCAGTATTCTCAGCAGTCCCCTTAAACCAAGAGATACACTGCACTGATGAGTCTCTTACCAGAGAGCGTGTGCCCATTGCATCGTGCAGTCGCGGCATATCCACGTTCTCACTCATCCGGGAGATCATGCGCATCAGGAGCTGAATCTTCCTGCGGTTTGGTGGTGGGAGCAACAAACAGCATATCTGCAGTGCTTCAACAGCAATCCTTTCTAAATGAGGCTGAAGAAGATCTAAAAGTTAATTGTACAGGCAGGTATCAGTAAGATTTGAACCACTTTTGGGGTATTTTAATTTCAGTACAAGAAATTTCTTCTTCTGTGATCACAGAATTCCAGCCTGGTTTGTGCTGAAGGGACCTTAAAGCTCCTCCAGCTCCAACCCCTGCCACGGGCAGGGACACCTATCACTAGAGCGGGTTGCTCCAAGCCCCTGTGTCCAACCTGACCTTGAACACTGCCAGGGATGGGGCAGCCACAGCTTCTCTGGGCACCCTGTGCCAGTGGCATTATCCAATGACAATCTATGTTTCATAGAAATCAGCTGTAACATTCTACATAGTTCTGTGCCCTTTTTGTGTGTGGTCATCTTCAATTTGCTTCATCATGATAAACTGCTGATACAGTGACACTAATGTTACTCCCAGAAGTATTTCTAGAAACTGTGTTTCAAAGGCCAGAAAAAGACATCTCCTCTACCAGAAAGGTCTGTGCAAGTTCCCTGCCTCACTCTTAGCGTCCAGGTCAGAATTACTTATCACTTACCTCAACAGGAATGTGAATTACTGACACATCAAGTTTAGGATTCCAAAGACACTACCTGCTACTATTTGTTAGCAGAGGTACAAAGGGCTACCTTTAAATGGTGCAGTTTAGCAACCAGATTCTTTTAAAAACCCACAGATCATGTTATACACATATCAAAAAACCCCCTAGTGTCAGTGCCAAAGATTAAAGAAGCAGAGATTAGTTTGCCAACACAATAAGCCAATACAACATGCCTTAGAAAGCCATCTTACTTTGCGTGCCAGTCAACATATAAGAAGAGTGAGTGAAAGAGCATTCTGAAAGTTCTGTGGTACTTTTGCAGAGTCTCTTTTTGATGGTGGTATCAGAAACCTCAGTCCTGATGTCCACTGAAGTAGCCACACCACAGCTATTTGGTTTTCCTTGCCCACAAAGCTGAGAACTTGGCTTCACTGTGATTTCAGCAACTGGCATATTAATACTAGCACAACTTTTGGAGTTCCTCTTGCCTAGTAAACTCAGAGACCTGTGTATTTGCTTTAATCCATGATCTTCAACAAATAGCTCTTTATCCTGAAGAGCTGAGGCAGACACTCTTTTGATACCATGGGTTTGGTCTTGACCTGTGTTATCAAAACCAAGTTCAAACACAGAATTAGCTTTATGCTCATAGGGTAGTGACTGTTTTCCATTTCTTGTGCCCAGGATGGTGTTCACATCACTTTGCCTGAAGGAATCAGATCCTCCTTTATTATATACACTTGAAGGAGCATCTCCAATTTTTTCCAAAGAGTAACATCTTGTCCTAAATGTTTGAAGTGGAACTTGTTCATTCCTGTATCCTGAAAGATTTTGACAGCTTCCTCCTATTAGATTGGCAGAACTACCATGTTTATGTGTCTGTTTATGCTGCCACAATTTCTTTGCACATTGTTTTTGTTTAGTTAGCTCTCCCAAAGAACACTTCATGGAAAATTCACATTCTTTCTTTTTTTTGTCAGGCTCTTTGCGAAGCAGGCTTAGGAGAAGACACTCAGTTGACTTGAAAGAGTTCAAGTGAAGAGCTTTTGAAGGTTGCGAGTCACATTTCTCATCTCGGACAGAATGGTTTCCACTGCATATATCTGGAATTGTGATGTAGCCACACATAACTATCAGAAAATGAAATATAAGTTAAGATGCAAGTGGTATGAAAAATGAACAAGTTCAGAAAGAAAGGTGCTAACTGAGCAGAGAAGACAACAAATATATGACACTAATTTATAGTTGACTCTATTAGTAAAACCCAAGAAGAAATTAGCTCAGTCCAAAAGCAATCTAACAATGACCATGCAAGAAGAGAGTTAGCACACTGCAATAGTGAGGGACAGACAGAATGAGCATGTATTTTTAGATTATAGTTATTGCATATTTAGAATGTTAGCTCAGACAGCAATTTATATAGGGAATTATGAGACAGAACTGTACGTCAATTAATACTGTAATACAGAATGACAGCATTGATGATCTTCCTCAGATTCAAGCTGCCAGACAGACTCTGAAGTACAGATTTGTTCCCCAGTTGATATCAAACTTACAGCTTGCACTGGTTATTTCTCAATTCATACATACCTAAAATATTAACAAAAAGTTCATAGTATTCAAAAGTAAGCAATGGCTCAGGGAGATTAAGAAAGTAATCAGCAACCGTTCGGAACACATCGCGCTCAAACCCGCTGTAAGTTGCTTGGCTCGTGTCATTATTTCTAGGCCCTAAAAAGAGGTGAAGAAAGAGAATTCACAAACAAATTTTCACAATTTAATTATAAAAATCAGGTTTTTTAAAAATAAATATAGGCTAATTCTTGTAGGAAGGACTGTTTCACAAGGAAAGAATCATGTCAGCAATATGTAAATATTTTTAGTTCAGCACTCTATGTTTGTAAGCAAAAATAGTGTAACAGATTCTATGTAGCCACTGAAGAGTTGTGCTCAGTTTCAACCAGCTGCTCCACACTAAGAAAATAAATGAAAATTCATTTATACCCTTTATAGGCTCCTCAGCAAAATAATAATGAACTCTCAGTATTTTCCTTCATTGCCAAACTACAGTAATTCCAGTTCTCCCACAGGGAGCTCTAGCTTCTAGATCAAAAAGAAACTTGTGCTACAGCTAACTTTGAAGAATGCACAAGCTGAGAAGCCAGCTTACACACATTGCTTTATGCACAGGCCAGAGCCATAGAACAGTTTGGGTTAGAAGACACCTTAAAGCTCATCCAGTTCCAATCCTCTGCCATGGGCAGGGATACCTTCCAGTAGAGCAGGTTGCTCCAAGCCCTGTCCAACACTGCCAAGGAAGACATTGACAGCACCTTCCCTTTACAGGGAGCTCCTTTTATCAACTCATCTACTGAAAAGGTCCATCAAGAGAGTTTTGTTCACCATGAAGCCCATGGTAAATCACAGCTACACACAACTGATTTTATTCAGACACAGACAGATGGGCAATCCAGTAACTTAAGAGACCTGGTTGCTAAACTTTGCCTGTGTGGCTACAGACAGGAAAGGAACAAACAAAAGTGTTCCTGGTAGGAATAAAATTTGACACTGCATAAAACTGTTAACCCCGATGTTATCATACTCCACTGAGCTCCTACAAAATAAAGTCAGCTACCTTACAAAGCCAATTCTAATGAATTAGGAGATGGCTGTTTAAGTTACACATGGAGCCAGGGAAGATTTAACTTTTGGTACAATCAACCTTTATAATCATAATCACATTACTGTACAATAAAAATATAGTAGAGCAGTATTCCCCCTACAGTATAAACACTTTCAGTTTTCACTCTGCAAAGTAACTATTGCCTTAAATCATTTGGTTACAGTATAGCTGGCAGCTGCAGAGATAAAGTCTCCACTTGAACTAATTCACTCAAATTAGAAATTGAGAATTCAGAAGCCCAGGAAGCTTGCTTGCTGTTTCCAACCCACAAAGACCTATTTATTAGTTCTAAGTACAGGACTGATGTGGGGATTAAGGTATTGAAAAGCTCAGAGACCAGCGCTCAGCTGTATTTTCCACTCTGATTTAAATCCACTCACGAAGCTCTTCCCTGTCCTGCTTTTCCTACTAGTGCTCTTCATGTAAGAGGCTCTATTTTTTGGGGAACGCTGTTGAAGAAAAGGGAGATGTTGAATAAGAACCAAAAAGGTCATTTTCACAAGAGTGCATGCTGCAAACTGAACTTGTGAAGACACACTAACCCTGCATGGTCCCCCACCACAGTTCCACTGAGCAGCCAGACTGGCACATAGATGCATAAAACACATGCCATCTAACCATGGTATAGCTTTGCAAGGAGCTAATGAAGGAGACTGCCAGGAGATGGGACAAAAGTTAAACAGCAGAGCAAGCATACAGATGAAAAGCTCATCATCTCTGATTTCATTTGAGAGGCACTCATCTAACTGTTAGACATTTAAAGAGGCAGTTTTGGGGGGAAAAAAAGGAAAGAAAAAAAAAAAGTCACTCTAATTGTCCTCTCCAGAATCTTTTCAGAATCTGCTTCACAGGGTTGCAGAGCTTACAGAATGGTGATCTGTATGTGTTTGTAACGGTTTCAAACACAGCTGACAAAAGAAGCCTCAAAGACCATTAGATTCTTTGAAGTTTCATAAAAATCAATGGTACTGTAAAGGAGAAAGACTGTTAGTATTATACAGGTCTGCTGCAGCACTTGTTAAAAAACAAACCCACACCTTTATTAGCAAGAGAATCCACATCAGACTGAGCCATTAGAAACTGAACTTCATCAAGTTCTCTATGAAAGTATTTTTCCCTCCTCGATGTGTGAAAACCTGTGATAATTGTATTACTCCACAGTAAATACTTTCCCAGTAGTTCCAAGACAGCTGCTCAAGTACACATACACTGATGCCTTTGGTAACCGATTCTTCTTTTCTGAAGTTTAAGATTTAACATCGTGCCTTTCTACATTTTACTTTTAAGCAAATACACAAAGAAAACAAACCAGAAGTGCCAAGTTTCTCTAAGTTGTCACCACTCCCAGTTTTGTTGCTTGATATTTCATACATTAATACCAAAACAAGGTCTGCAGACAATGGAAGTTCAGTTGTCACAAAACATGTTTCACAGCTAAAATGCCTGACTTTAAAAAAAAACACCTCATCTATTAGGCAGTGATTTGTAAGACACTGAGGACCTTCATTTTCCACAGCTGAACTGTAACTATAAGAGGTGTTCTACAGGGTTTTAAGCATAAGCTTTTTCTAAAGACCATTTGGAGAAAAAGGTGAGGAGGTAGATAAGGAGGTACCAGAGGAGCTACAGTCCAAGTCCAGGAACAAGTGAGCAGAACTCTTCCTTCTGTTGTCATGATAAATTTAGCAGACTATAAAGCTGGTGATAGGAGCATGATTTTATCTCAAACCCTTTGCAAAAGTTTATTTGCTTTTTTCCAAGACAAATAAAAACCTGATTTTCTCTGAATTGGCTTCCTTAGTTTAATATGAAACGTAGGAACTGTTTCAGTCCAGCTCAAAGTAAGGAACTAGAAAGTCCCTTTTACCCATGAAAAACTGTGTTAGAAGAAACCACACATAGGTTTTGGCCAACCACTAGTTTTCTCGCTGACTCTTTGTTAGTAAGAATTATTTTTTTTACAAAACAGCCCTTAGCTTTTCCATTGCCTTGGACAGGACACTTCCACTGAAAGCTTGCAGAGGTAATTAATTCTCCTGCACACTTCTTGGAGTAAGGGACACTGAAGCCCCTCTTCTTCTGCTAATTTGTAATCAGTTCACACTGCTAAAAGTCATATGCAGATGATGCAGCCTAAAAGCAGGATTAGTAGCTAGACTAAAGGACTGATACCTCCATTACCTGAAACGTAACTTCTTTTAACACGTGTTAACTCCTTTAGATTACATTTCTGTGCAATGATTTGCTATGGATTGCTGTCATTGCTTCTCAGCATATCAAAGCACTTAGATTACATGAATTTCCAAATGAAACATCACAGTTGATCTTAACTTGCCAGTATATTTCCCTTTCAACTCTCAAAAGAGGTTAAAAGGTATTTAGTAACTTACAGTATGCGAGGCACTTCATAGCTGACAACACCCAGTGGGGGAGGTCTTCTAAAATAAGCACACAAACACATTATTTATACACAACCTCAAAGACTTAATAACTAATACAAATAATGGCACACATGTACTAATACCTCAAATACAAAAGATCAAATTTGGAACAAATTCTAAGTATTGCTACACGTGTGATTTAAAAATGAATGCAATAAGCCTGCAAAACCTTCTAGACAAATATACTGAACTGTACTGCAGAAGGGGAAAAAAGTTTAAGAGACAGACTACAAAACATTAATTATTATTTATTGCTTGTTCTAATGAGGCCATAAGGAATCTTTAAGCAAAACCAGGGAAAAGAAATTGTACCTGATTTGTTCTGCAAAATCACAACACCATGTTTGCTTGTGTTAGTCATGTTGTATATGACATACTCGGGAATGATCTGTGCTGGCTGAAGAACTTCTTCCAAAGACGGGAGGCCTAAAATGGTTTGCAAACTGTGGGCAATAAGAGAGCACATGTTGTCTAAAAGGTTTACAAGTAATGAATGAAAACAAGTTCTTCCCATGTCTACTTAACAGTTCCTTTACAGGCTAGTTTGCCATTTAATGCATTCTCACTTCTAGAAGGACAACTTGAGGACACACTTTCCCTGGGACAAACACTAAAAAATGACCAGGAAAGAGCCTCTACGGTTCATAAAATATATTTCAACACCAGCAATAATAAAAATCCAATTAATTTCTGAACCGCAACTATCCAATGTTAATAAATACATTAGAAAGCATCTGTAAACAACAGTAAAAATATTCAAATTAAAACATAGTTTTAAAGACTCAAGAAAAGTTTGCAAGCCAAAAGCTTGATCAGACCATTACACACACAAAGCACATATCTGAGAAGCTGCTTTTTATAATGTGTTACTCACTGTATTAGAATGATATTTCTCCAAGTTTCTTTCACATATTCCTGGCTTATTTCCTTCCTATTCAGTGTGTCTTCCTCATTTTCACCTATTCTATCAGGCTTTGTTTTTTCTAAATTTTCCTGAAAATGAACAGTTTGTGCCATAAGATAAGGAAGCCTCTTAAGATAATTCAAGATGAAGTAAAAATTAGTCTCAGAAGTATAGGGCATTCTACATAATATGGAATTCACGTAACCTTACCAGTCCCTGCACTGCAATGTCAGCATGTCCAACTAAAAAGGAAAAGAGGACACTACGAAGAAAGACCTGATCAACTCAGAAGTCAGCAATTTAAAAGGTAGAAAGACATCAAATCCAAATGTGTCAGTAAGTGAAGTATTCTGCTTTAGGATCACCACCTGAATTCACAAAGTATGCATACACACACACACACACAGAGATCTCAAAAAAATAAAGGACCAAGCACCTGTATTCAATCTTTTTCACAAAGTGGAAGAGTTAAATCATATGTGCCTTGACAACAAACAAAAAATATATTAAGTTTCAACAAAGACATATTGTCCAGATCATTTCTAGAACTCCACTGTCCAGCCCTCCCAATAATTTAAAATCCTGTAGCAGGGATAATACTACACTGAAGGAAACAAAACAAACCAAACAATCACAAGGATGGTAAGAGGACTGGAGCACTTCCCATATGAAGACAGGCTGAGAAAGTTGGGGCTGTTCAGACTGGAAAAGAGAAGACTGCATGGAGACCTTATAGCAGCCTTCCAATATCTGAAGGGGGCCTACAAGGATGCTGGGGAGGGACTCTTCATTAGGGACTCTAGTGGTAGGACAAGGGGGAATGGCTTTAAACTTAAACAGGGGAACTTTAGGTTAGATCTAAGGAAGAAGTTCTTCACAGTGAGGGTGGTGAGGCACTGGAATAGGTTGCCCAAGGAAGTTGTGAATGCTCCAACCCTGGAGGTGTTCAAGCCCAGGCTGGACAGAGCCTTGGGCAACATAGTTTAGTGTGAGGTGTCCCTGCTCATGGCAGGGGGGTTGGAACTAGATGATCTTAAGGTCCTTTCCAACCCTGACTATTCTATGATTGTATGAATCAAAAAAAGCCCAAAACCCTCCCATACTGATGACCCAAAACTCTGTATAATCTCAGATCATAAAATAAGTCCTGTACCACAACAGGGGTGTTTGTGTGTGTGAAACGACCTTTCTAAGTAATTAATTACAATCTACCCCCCATGCCTCTTCCCAAGAAACTACTGCCAATAAGCTTAGAACGACTCATTTAGTTTTAAGAGTGTCAATTGCACAATCCCTTTCACTTGCTGCCAGCATCTCAAAAATGCCACGTTATAGCCACAGCTATGATTTTACAAGTATGTATTTAGTTTGAATATTTACAGGTTATTTAATAAAACCTCTTTTTGCACATTGAAGAGAAACAGCATACATCACCAAGACACTTCATTATAAAATACAGCTGTATCTTTCTATCATGGTTATACATAAATGTTCTATTTCACTGTCTAAAAGAACCTACCAATTTATTTCTTCAGCTAGAATATGACACAATGGAACAGTGTCACTAAGAGGTGATTGCTTCCAGTTTTATTTGTTAAAGAACAAAGGAAATACACTGCAACTATAAACATGTAAGAAGCATAAGTTATTACCAGAGACTGTAGCAACTCGTGTCTTTTAAAAGCTCTCCTGGATAAATGTGGCAGTTTAAAAAGTCTTTCTTTGTCTCTAGAGAAGTTTTCCAAGTTCTCTTTTTGTGAACATGGACTTGGTAGAGGTTTAACTGGAGATGTTGAAGGAAATCTGTAATGAATAGAAAAGATGTTAAATGTATTTAGACTAGATTAGAAACATAAGAAGTCACTTAAGCAAAGCCATACCCTGAATCCATACTAGTGTGGTTCCATAAGATTCTGAAGAGATACAGGAAATTAACAGTGTTCTTCAGAACACTGTTTAACATTATATTATAAATTAGGTTTGGGCTGCTTTTGTTGATTTCAAACTCAAGCTGAAGATTTTCAGATATTTATAAGCGCTGAGACCAGCATTTGAGAAGTGAGGGCCATTAAGACCTTTAAATTCAGAACTTAGGATAGGCCAAGTTCAAGACTGTTTCCCACTTGGCTTTTTGTAAAATGTGCAAGAGGAATAAACACAGGACTGGTAGCAGAGCATGAAGCTAAGTTCTCTTTGGCTCCCCTCCAAAGCACTTGAGTGCAGCATGCATGCCTGCCAGTGAAAAACTTGGCTAGACAAAGGCATGGAAACAGCCCTCAGCACACCGGATGTATGGTTTAGAGTGCAAATCAGAGTAAAATAAACAGTGAGTGGAGTAAAATGGTGCTAGTGATTAATTTATGGCTGAACTGCTCAACTAAAAGCAAGACATTTTTGTGAATGTGAACCTAACTATTTTGAAATAAAATTTTCAACCTGAAGAGCTCTGTTAACTGGCCTTTATTTCAGTACCTGTATAGTGCACTGTTGTCTTCTAAGCTTTCAGATCCCCATCTCCCTTTTATATCTTCAATTACATGATTCTTGAGAAACTTTCTTAATAACTGAATAGTCTGCTGCCTAGTAACTTCAGGACCAAAGTTACTGTTGTTCCTTAGTACTTCATGGAGCCAGTCTACAGCTTCTGATGCAGTGAAACAGCTTCCATGCCTCTTGAAATGCTGCCTGTGTTTCCTTAGTGGCATGCCTGCTCGGAAATACTTTGTAATTTCATTCCACTGCATGAGAAACAAACAAGGAAAGAATGCAAGATCAAAGCCTGAAATTGATCACTGTAGTATCAACTAAAACAGTATTACATTAATAAGCATATAAATGAAATCACAGCCTTAATACTAAGAAATATTGATAATTATACTAAACAAGCATAGAATGACTTGACGCAAAAAACCAAACTACTGTTACCTGACTTGGTTTTCACAGGCAAGAAGGAAGCGTGGCTTGCACAGTTCTTAGGTCGTAGAATCCCAGACTGGTCTCTGTTGGAAGGGAGCTTAAAGCTCCTCCAGCTCCAACCCCTGCCCCGGGCAGGGACACCTTCCACTAGAGCAGGGTGCTCCAAGCCCCTGTGTCCAACCTGGCCTTGAACACTGCCAGGGATGCGGCAGCCACAGCTTCTCTGGGCAACCTGTGCCAGCGCCTCCGCATGCTCAAAGAAAAGGTCCTCAGAGCTCATCTCAGTCTCCCCTCTGGCAGGTTCAAGCCATTCCCCTTGGCCTGTCCCTCCATCCCTTGTCCAAAGCCCCTCTCCAGGTCTCCTGGAGCCCCTTTAGGCACTGGAGCTGCTCTAAGGTGTCCCCTTGAGGAGCCTTCTCTTCTCCAGCTGCCCCAGCCCAGCTCTCTCAGCCTGGCTCCAGAGCAGAGCTGCTCCAGCCCTCGCAGCAGCTCCGGGGCCTCCTCTGGCCTCACTCCAGCAGCTCCACGTCCCTCTTGTGCTGTTCCCCAGAGCTGGACCAGGGCTGCAGGGGGGGTCTCCCCAGAGCACAGCAGAGGGGCAGGATCCCCTCCCTTGACCTACCTGATGTAGTAGTATTATTATAGAAACACTAAACCTCAGAGTAAAAAAACCATAAACATTTCATTTAGGTTTTATCTCGTTCTTCTCTAACTGAGAATAAGGTTAGTTTCACAAACATAACGAGTTTTATTGACTGCGTTTGCCCATCGTTTACATCAGCTCGGGTTCCCAAGGCGCTGTCAATCACCGCAGCCGTCAGGCGGGGACTGAACCCCGCTGCCAGGGCACAGAAAGTCCGGCTTTAAACTCCTCTCTCCGTCTCCTCGCACAGAATTAGATGGCACACAGCAGTCAGCAGGCTCCTTCCTAGGCTGTCACCCAGTTTTCAGTGAGCAAGGCTCTGCCGCAGCCCTCTCTGGGGACGGCCTCCCACAGCAGACACCGCGGCACACGGTGCTCCGGGCACGCCGGAACCCAC